CTGCAATCTGACAAAGAAAACTGCTTGGCAAAACGGTTTTCTCAACGCTGTGGTAACCAAGCTTTCTTGACGAGAACTGAGACTTGGCACATGGCATGGCAGCGTTACGTTGAATTTTGTTCTCAGCTAGCAAGATTATCGCATCAACGCTGCTGCAGCAGTGGAACGGTATGTGGAGGAGCCCGAAGATGTGCTTCCTGAAGCTTCCGGTGAAGTTCTTATCCAGGCAAGGACCTGTATTCTCAGGAATTCTCAACATTGCGCTGCAGATCGAATCGGCCGTGCTATGACGCATCTAAAGCAATCATCACATTTGTTTCCCAGTATAACGTTCCAACGTTGGCGTGCCTTTTCGCTGGAGATGAAAGTTTTGCTATGGCCTAAACGAAGCTGAGCCGGTCTCAGTTCGTTTAATCCGTTCCGCACTATTTTCCACTTGCCTTTGATTCCTTGGTCATATGCATTGGGACAAGCACTGGTTGCTACCACAATGGCAGTGGTAGTGATGGTTATGACGTCAGTGACCATAGGACATAGGAATGAAAGTTGATAGCCGTCCGCTGGACAGAACAGTTCTCGCTAACTTCGAATTCCTATTCATACTACAAGGGCCTTTGCTGCTCTAACCGGTATTTCTAGAACAGATTAGATATTGAACATTCGAACGTTTATTTTACAATCTTGCCATTCTATCCCAGCAACCCAGGACATTGACGCATCATCTGATTGTCGTTTCTTTTCGACATTTAAATCTAGCAAGCCTTGTATGACAAGTATTGGCCCCAGTTGCTGATAAGCAAATTATGGAGAAGCATGTGTTTGTCCTCCAAAGAAGGATGAGATCCCGTCGCCTGTCATCGTCTCGCGGCCGAAGAGCAAAGCCAAGGCCATGGAGAACCATGCGTTACCGACGCACACGCATTATCATCCATCATCACAGCTGTCACAACCATCACCATCGTCACTAGTCGGGCACTCTGAAGAAACGAGAAGAGTTGAAAATTGAGGCACTGACCGTCTGCGGGGAAGAAGTGTTCTGCGGATGCGGGGGCAAGCCCGAACCCAGAAGTTTGGCAGAGCTTGGCTGGAGGTGGAACCGGCGGCCAAGCGCGCGCACCTCAGGACTTTAAACCCATCCTTTTGTGTAAGAAGTGAAGAGGCACGCTGTGAAGCGCGTGTGTTGAGGCTTCTGCCCTTGCCTGCCTAGGTCCGTCGTGACGAGTGAGTGGTCACGTCGCATCTTCCATTCGCACCTGAAGGTTATGGAAAAGGTAAACCAATTAGTAGGTTGTGATGTTCAGACTTATGGCCGTGTGCAAGCATCATTTTTTGTAACATGTGTAGGCTTAACATGCAGCATGCAAGGCCCAAACTCCCGGACAAATAGCTTCGCAAAGCACGATGTGGGGCGGAAACAGGAACAGATAAAAAGGCCAGTCTTGCAACGTGCTGCTGATGCTTATCCGTGCTCAGCTAATCTCAGTTGCATCACAGAGCGACGGAGGGTGCTGCTTGTACATGCGACATGTCTGTGTCATGTTGAGTGTAAACGAATGCCACCGCCGCCCAGAGACAACTTCTCAATCCTGCACCCTGTAGATTTCAGGGAGTTTCCTCGGTTGGCCATGCCGTCGGCGCACAGGTCGCGCAAGCTTCTTGAAATCATTAACTGCCATGCATGTGCAAAGCTGTCAAATGGTGATAAGTCGGGTAACAGGTGGGCCCCGGTAGAATTGAGGGCAGGCGACGCCTTCTTTCTTGCTTGCTCCAATGTCAGGAAGAGATGCTGTCCAAACCTTGCACTCTCGAAGGTGAAGCAGAAGGGCCGCGTCACCAAGCACCGTGGCTTTTCAGTGTGCCCACCGCACACGCAGGAAAACTAGCCAAACCCAGCCAAAACCAGCAAAACCCAAGGCAAAACCCTAGCAAAACCCTAGCAAAACCACCAAAACCACAGCGAAAACCACCCAAACCCTGCAAATTTCAGCAATTCTCATCAAGCCTCAGCAATCCTCAGTAAGCCTCAGTAAGCCTCAGCAAGCCTTGGTAAGCCTTGCCAGGGCTCTTCGGGGCCTCCTATCTGGGGTCCACGTCGGGAAATGGTGATGTTCGGACCTGTACATCTGCAAAACCCCGAACAAACCCCCAATCTCGGTACCAACCCTGATTTTCGGATTCGAGGGCACTGCTAAATCAGGCCAAGATGCTCGCGTGCACGCTTGGACGCGACGAGTCGAGAGCACCACTTCGGTTTCTTCTTCGGGTCCTCCAACTCGTCGTTGACTAACCATTCCCCACCGAAGCCGTCCCGTACGTCGGCCACCTCCGCACGACGGACATGAGCAGCTGGCGCCAGGCGCTGCAGTGCGCATGGAAGCACGCCGGGGGCTTCCCCACCGAGGAGCTGAGGCGCTACGTCCTGAACTACGCCTTCGTGTTCAGCCTGCCCCGAGACCTACAGCCCGACATGGAACTGGCAGCCAACAGGGACAACGAAGATCTCCAGGGAAGGCGGCAACGCCGCAAGCCTCGCAGCTCCTGCCGGCACCTCCCGAGGCAAAGACTGTCTCGACCGTTCCGCAGCCGCAGACAGTGGTCTCAACGACGCCAGCTCGGACTTCCGCGAAGTCAGTGTCTTGGGCCTAGAAGGACAAAGCCTTCCTGGGCCCCCGTCGTCCAGACCCCTGGAACAGCCTCGACTCCGCAGTCGACTGGGAAGACGGCCTCGCATACCGTCTTGCACGGCCGGGACCTCACGGTCCACCGGCACCAGAACTCCGTCTCCTGGCGCGAGGTCAAGAGCCTCCGCGCCAGCGCAGCGAAGGAGGCCCGGTCCGAGCCGCCGGGCTCGAAGCAACCCTCGCCCTCTAGGCAGGACAGGCGAGCCTCAAAGGCGTACGCCCTGTCCTTCCGGACACGGATAAAGTCCTAGCGGCTACCAGCAAGCGGTTCGACAGCGCAGATGTGTCTAGCCATGACTGTCACCCAGGTGCAGTGTGCACACCCAAACTGACCCAAACCCATGGATGAAAGTGGGCCTTGAGCTGAGTGCTGACGGCAAGGCAAGACTCCAAAAGCATTGCCGCCAACTTGAGGCAAGACCTGTGGCTTCTGCAAGGTGTCTTGGCCTCGATCAAGTAGCCGCAACATCATGTCTCAGCATGTTTCAGGGCCCTGCTGCTGAAAAGCTTTGCCAGGAAGCAAACGGCTTCCTGCGACACCGAGTTCCAGGCAACCAATCAAGAAGGCAAACCTGCCGCGCCGGCTCGGCTGCAGTTCGGTTAGAAACTTGGGCATCTGCGAGGTGTACGCAATCTGCAAGTGCGAGCCAGCTTCGACGAACACGGTCAAGGCCGTGACCGGGATGCTACAATCGCTGTTCTTTGGGACATTGACAAGGAGACTAACGGGCCTTTGCCCAAGCGGTCGCATCGGGCGCTCAGCAAGAGGTGCAGTTGGCGCGCTTCTTGAGGGTCGTGATGAAGCTGGCTGTTTTCAGTGCCAGCGGTCAGGGAGACCAAAAGATAGACCGACAATGGTGCCAATATGCATGAGCAATACAGCGGCATATGAAGTGATAGCAATGCCCTCGAGATGTTGCACACAAACTCAGGCATGAGGTCTCAAGTTGCAGATTTGTACCTAATCCAAGTGGTTTTGTGTTCCATTGGCGCGAGAACTTTTGCGTGTCGTTATCCTTTGTTTTCAAAGTACTGAGGGTCTGGGGGGTGGGCAGTCCAAGGATACTCGGCAGGATTCGTTGTGGCACTCTGTGGGGGCGGGCACTCGGCGGGATATTCTGCGGGTGGGAGACCGGGCCAAGAGACCGGGCAAGGAGTACGGGAGACACGGGCGAGGAGAATGGCTGACTGAAGTCTAAGAACCTTCGTATCGTGGGTGGAGAAAAGCCACGAGTCCAACCAACTCCCTAACCGAACCCCAAGCCCAGCCCAAGCCCAGCCCAAGCCCCAAACCTCGGTTCTAGAGGTAGAGGATTCCGGATCCAAGAGAAGGCAACCGGAATCTGGCTTGCCTTCAGTCCAGTGGCAAAAAGGGAAGGCAACCGGTTTTAGACGCAGGGCTTTGATCTGGGGCCCGGCCCGGTAGCCCGGAAACGTGACCTAACTGCGCCAGAGATTGATCTGCATCAAGGGAAGCAGGAAGCGGAGAATCTACAGCTGCCCGAACCCTAGACCTCAAACATGTACCACTTGCCCTGGGCATGTGAATGACAGATCACCTGCTTCCTCACCAGTCCCTTGGCACTGGTCCTCAAAAGGGATCTCGTGGATACCGTGTTACCGTTTTACCGCAACAGTGTGGCTTGCTTGGAGGGTGGCAAAGAAACCTTGGTTCAGGTGCAGTTCAGGCCAGCGACCATCCCCGCAGTCCATCGCATCCCTCCAAAATTTTTGGAGGGTCTGCGTGGATCTGGTGAGGCCTACACGCGCCAAATCCTGAACCCAGCCTCCGATGACCATTGCTAGCTCATCCTACTTGTCACGAGAGTTGGCTTTGAACGCCCACAGGTTCGACGCCAGCGCCAACCTGGACGACCACGAGGCCACGAGGGCCGGAAGTTGGTCAACAAGTCTTTCTGGACCCGGACATCAGACCGCGCTTTGGAGGTCAGGGATGGGTGAGCCTTCTTGTGCTAGGTCTGCTAACAGCTAACACCTTCACCACACATGTCTGAGCTGGGTGTGTCCCATCTTGAAAAGGACCTTGGGATTTATTTTAGGGTTCCCTCATTCAAGTAAACACCGGGGAATCAAATTTGTTAAAAAGGGTACCCTTATTGTTAAGCTTAAGGTGCCACTAATCCTATGGCTCAAAATGGCCCAGAAGCCTTATATAATATGGTCCTTAGGCCCGAAAATCCTAAAACATGAGTTTGTAGTACCCTAAACCCTAAACCGGTTTCTAGAGCCTCAGGGTAAGGAACCTTTTCCCTAAGCCTTGGACCATAAGCCCTAGGCCTTTGACCCTGTTGCAGGACGATGGCTTCCGGCGGCGGATACCGCAGCCGGATTGAGTTTCGGTGTAAGGGGCGGTTAAGGGCTTAGGGTTCATAGCTAGGATACTAGCAGTAGCCTTCCTTGCCCCCCGAAGAGCCCACAACCCTTCAAATATACATAAACACCCTGGCTTGCAACCCTAAGGCGAGAACCTGGACTTTTTCAAACATAACTCATCTTAACCCTAAGGCTCAAAATAGCCCAAAAGCCTTATATATAGTATGGTCTTTGGGCCCAAAAGCCTTAGAATATAAGTCCTTAGAGCCTAAGCGTAAGAAGAAGGCTTATACAGCTTGACGCATAGTCTTTACTTCAGGGGTTCCGGGCCTGAGAAGGATCCCTAACCCTTAGGCTTTAATTTAAGGACTCATATTTTAAGGCTTTTGGGCCCAAAGACCATACTATATAAGGCTTTTGGGCTATTTTGAGCCTTAGGGTAAGATTCTTTCAGAAGGGTTTGGGGTTTAACAGAATGGGGCCTTAATTACAGTCTAGGGTTTAAGGTTTGGGGTTTGGGGTTTAGGTTTTTGGGCTTAGGGTTTAGGGTTTAGGGTTTAGACCATGTTGGGAGTTCCTTTTTACAAATATAGTTTTGTTTATAGGGGCCTTTAATAATTCTGGGGCCAGTTTCCATCCCACACAACAGTCCTTTCTGTAATATATACTATTTGGGGGCGTCCATATCATGATTCTAGTATAACGGACCCCAAAACCCTATTCTAGTTACTAGTTATCATATAAGGTCCCTATACCCTATATTAGGCCCGCGCCTGCCAAGCATCAGGGTGCTCGGGGCCTGTGACCAATGTACCTATATTGGGAGTTTGGGCCACAGTATATGTACCATTTGTGTACATGGGTCGTTCCCTAAACCCTAGAGAACCTTTGAAGGAGCCCTTAGAGGAACCCTTTAAGGAACCCTTACCGGAGCTCTGTTTGGGTACATGGACCCTGAGGGAGCCGCAGGGAAGTGCCGACTTCCAGAGAACCCGATTCTGGCTATTTCGGTCCTCTAGTACCCTAAGGCTCAAAATGGCCCAGAAGCCTTAGATAATATGGTCTTTCGGCCCCCAAAAAACTTAAAATGTGAGTCCCTGGAGTCCCTTGAGCCTTGGGGGTAAGTCTGGGGTGTCAAGACCCAGCGCTATGCATAAACAACGGAACCACTTGATTTTCATGTAAAACAAAGACTTCACGTCGCAAGGTTCCACGTCTAGCCGCTTTCCTTCAGAAACTACGATTGTTTTGTGTCCGGTGTTGGAACATCGCAAAGATCTTTGCAAATGCACTGCATGATTTGTTGTTCCCCCTTTCTGTTCCCTGCTCTGCCCTGCCGCTGCCCCTCCCTGCTCTGTTTGCTGCTGTGGATTTTGTCTAGAAATGAAAGAGCCTTCCATAGTCAGGCTTTCACAGCCCGTCGCCAAAATACGATGCACTCGACACAACCTTGTCGCAAGATACTCTCGCCTACGCGCAATTCTAGGGCAAACCCTAAACCCCTAAACCCTTAAACCCTTAAGCCCTAAACCCTAAACCCCTAAACCCTTAAACCCTAAACCCCTAAGCCTAAGCCCCTGGAAGCCGCTCCGGGGGGCCCGGGTTCTCAGGTAGTCAGTCGGGACAAAGTCTTTCGTCTCTCGGAGAAGCTCCGTGCATACAGCGGGAGATGAGCTACTGGGGCAGGATTTAGGGATTTCCGGGTTCAGGGGGTTTAGGGGATAGGATTTAGGAGTTTGGGGTTTAAGAGTTTGGGGTTTGAGGCTTAGAGGGTCCAGAGTTTAGGGGTTTAGGGCTGCCCATAGGCCCCGTAGTAGTTCCTTTTTGGGGTTCATATATAGAGTCCTATAAGTTAATCCCAAAACAGGAAGTACTATGGGGCCTATGGGTAGGGACGAGAAAAGCGAGGGTCGGGGGACTTAGCAAGTAGGTAGTAAGTAGACTTATAAGTACCCTAAAAGGAACCCTAATTGGGGTTATGGCACTTATAAGTCCCTAAAATAAGCAGTTACTAAGTCCCCCGACCCTCCAAGTAGGGGAGTGAGGGATTACGGGAGTGGAGGTCGTGAGAGGTTGTCTTGCCATTGATGAACCCAAAGGGTCCCATGTACTGTTAGGGGGATACTTCCCCAAGTCATACACGTAATGGGAAACCCTGCATTCTACTATATCGGTACATAGGAGCCTTTGGGGAAGGGTTTAGGGCTTTAGGCTTGTTTAGGGTTTTGGGCTTCAGGGTGCGCGAAGGAGACAGGAGACTTCAAGGAGAAGTCGCAACGTCCGTGTATGATCAAGATCTTGAGACATTTTAGGGTTGCCTGGAGTGAGTAGTCTCTAGTCACGGACGTCCGTGTTGAGTGTACAAGTTAGTTTCGGCTGAGTTTAGCTTTTCAAACCGTCACGACCTCCCTGGGTATAGGGTTTAGAGGATAGGGCTCAGGGGTGTCCAGATTTGAGTTTGGGTTTTCGTTGTTTGGAATGACCTTCTTTGGGTGCCGAGAGGGACGCTTGTTGGGTATCCCAACGAGACTGTTTAAAAGGGCGCGTACCTTTCCATGGAAACCCGGAGGCTCGAATGCACCCGTATAATATACGGGCGGTTCTCAAAATTAGGGTCCCTTTTTGGGTCCTTATTATAGTACGGCACCTAATATTTAGGGTATCCAGAAAGGGACCCTCATTTTGACAACCAGCCAAAAACGTTGCCCCTAAGGTACCTATATCGAGACTACATGAAGATCTTAAGCCCTAAACTAAACCTTGAACCCTGGGTATTAGAGCGCATAGACCCCTTTTGGTAAGGACCTAAGGACGTAAATTGCTTTGACGGTTGTTGGTGGATCCTCCTGAGCTTGCGAAGCCATGGAAAAATTAAAAAATAGGGTCTATGGACAAGAAACTTTTCAGGGGGAGCGTGCGGCGATCGACTGAGCTCCGTCACGATCAGCGTCTGTGTCTCTGAGGTTTCACTGCCAAGGGTGCTGACAGCTAATAGGTGGAAGGCAGACAAGAAGGAGTCAAAAAGGGTCGCGAGAAGAAGCTCAACGACGCTGGCATATGGACTGGCGAATTTGTGTCTTCGCCCTTGTTGTTCGTCCAAGTCTTGATCTTGTCTTGACCTTGCGATCTTAAGCTTCGTTGCTTCGTGTGCCGCCAATCCATTGGGGACAGTCCTGCCCCGCAGGAACCCTTTAAACCCTACGCCCCATAAGCCTGAAATCTCAAAGAATCCTATATATTCGCTCTAAATCTAAACTCCTTTACTCCTACCAAACCTGGTCCGACTATTTCGTGTCTGTGTTCGGTGTTCCCGATGTTTGCGAAGCTTTCTCGCTACGATTATGGAAATAGGTACCCCAGGGGGCATGATCTGGATGGTCCACGGTTGCGTAACCCATAATAAAGGTAGTATGTATGGCATAGTAGTAGAGTAGGTAACCTTTAACCTTTGGGCCTTTTCGGGGTATAAACATCCGATAATAATCCCGAAGCTCAACTGTATAAGTCCCCTAGGATGCTGCACAATTGAGTATCAGGGTTTCCGAAACTCGAAGGTAGCAAACTCTGCGGCGTGCGCCGAAATAGCAGCAGCTTTGCGCTGCTGAAGCGCCTGGAGGTCGGTCGCCCTAATATACTTGGAGGATCATGGGACTTACTAAGTATGGTTATAAGTACCTTAATTGAGGTGATGAGTAGTTATAAGTATAGTTACCCTAATACTCAATATGGGACTTACTAAGTATGGATATAAGTACCTTAATGGGGGCTATAAGTAGATATAAATATAGTTACCCTAATAATTGATCACCTTAGCTACTAAGTCCCATGATCTTTTAAGTAGAGGCCTATTCGGTACACCCTCGGGCCTTAATGGACTTAGTCACCAAGGCTTTGACTGAGGTGACTATACTTAATTAATACTTATAGCCTCCTTTGTAGTTCCCCTTGCTGCGGTTACCCTATATGATCTTAAACATACCACAAACAGGACAATAGTATAATATACCCCAAAAGCTTATGCATCGTTCCGAAACCCTATTATAATAAACCCTAAACCCTAAACCCTAAACCCCTAAACCCTAAACCCAAAACCCTAAACCCTAATTGTTGAGGCCCTATATGACAAGGGTTTCTGCCGAACCCCCGATCTGGCCCGCATAAAACACCCAAAGCCCCGGACCCTCTGCGCACAAAGCGTAGTGAGGCCTTAGGGGCCCCTTGAACCCAAAGCGTCCTATGTACTGTTATGGGGGGGGGGTACTTCCCTAAGTCATAATCGTATTTCCTAGTATGGAACCAGTACATTCTACATCATTCTACTAAATCAGTACATACGACCGTTTGGGTAAGGGATGTATCGGGGTTCTGCAAGGGTTTTTGGGTTTAGGGTAAAGGGCTTTGGGTTTTCACCCTAGCTTAAGCCCGCGTCGAACTGGCTGATTGGCGTTTCGACCGTTTCGGAGTTTATATAGGTTTGACAGTGTTTGAACTAGGACCTAGAGTAGGCCCTTATTCCCTTTTTTGGGGGTTCCGGTTCCCTTATAAGCCCCTTTAAACCAAAAAGGGCACCCTTTTTATGCCTGGGTTACTCTTGGGTCTAGTATAGGTTTGACAGTGTTTGAAAGTTGAGGGACTTCAAGTCCCAAACTCAGAACTGTAAATGTGATCCGAACTCGCTGGCAACTTGGCTTCCGTTACAGGAGCCCTACATCCTAAGCCCTAAACGTCTAAACCCGTAACCCTCAGCCCGAAACCAGCACTCGTTAAAGAACCCTCTCAGGGAACCTTTAAAGGGTCACCCTTAAAGGAAGCATACAGTAACTGTAAAGATAACGAACCTCCTTCGGTACCTATGGAGAACCGACCCGAGCCCAAAGTCTTCCCAACCCTTGGTTAGTGCATCTACAAACCTAGGGCTTCTCCCTGAAACCTGCACCCTCGACCTTATATTTCGCATGCATAACATCCCGAAACCCTAAACAACGAGCTTACTTGAAGGGTCGGCGGACTTAGTAGGCATTTCTTCAATATAAGTAGGCTAGCATCTGTGTTGCTATCTTGTAGGGTACTTGTAACTCTACTTACTACCTACATGCAACGCCCTCTGACCCTCCGAGCACAGAATGAGCTAGCAAACGCTAAACTCCTAAACCCCTGAACCCCTAAACCCTGAAAGCTAAACACTGAACCCCTAAACCCCTAAACCCCTAAACCCTGAACCCTGAACCCTAAACCCAAACCGAGTTAGGCAGCTGGACCCGAGTGGCGCGATGTGGAGGGCCTGAGCGATCCAAGCATCGACCACAGCGCTTCGGAGCAGGACTAACGGGCTTTTTAAGGCTTGGGGTTCAGGGTTTACGGTTTATGGCTTTACAAGGTTTAGGGTTTAGGGACTAACGGGCTTTTAAGGCGTAGGGTTCAGGGTTTTAGGTTTACGGCCTTTTAAGGTTTAGGGGCAGTGTGGGGCAGTGTTGGGGCTTAGGGTTTAGGGCTTCTGGGGCTGCTTTATTACTATTTGCTTAAGAAACCCCCAAAAAATCAAAATACTAATCCCTATATTTCCCCCCATAAAGAATATTTTAGTAACCACCGTCCTTTGCATAGGGCCTTGCCCCCCTGACTAATTAATTTTCAGAGGAACTTTAGGAAAACAAATACGGTTTGGTTTGGAAGATATGAAACAAAGTATGCAGGAAAGTGTGGTTGGGTTTTAACAACGTGAATCAAAGTCTGGCTTGGGTTTCGGGATGTAAAAGAAAGTGTGGGTTGGGACTGCTAATTACAAGCAATAACTACAATGAGTCTAAGGCGAGGGAAGGAAGTGGGGGTAAGGGATGAAACGGGGTCGCTGAATGTGACACATCCAGGTGCCTGTCTGTTTCACGCGTTACATGCACGGATGCATGCTTGCTGCTCATCAAGGTTCTGGCAGAGTATTGACTACAGCTGTGAGCCTGTAGAAGAAAGAGACTCTTTCGTTGTTTGTAGGCTTGTACCTCTGCGAGCGTCTTCCCGCCCAGGTTACATCTCAAAGGGGAAGGTAGGGGGGGGGCGGAAGAGCGGCCGGGGAGGGCCCCGGGAGCGTTTCGGCTCTCTCGTTTTTCCCTAGGTTGTCTCGCCTCCCGGCCTCCTGGGCGAGGCCTTTTGTCCACTCGTTGTTCTCTTTTGTTGTTTTTTCCTCTCTTTTTGTTTCTCATTTATTTATCTTTTTTTTCTCATTTTATTTCTCTTTTTTTTTCTGGTTTTTTCCTTATTTTTTCCTTATTTTTCCTAAGGCTCTCCCAAAAAACCAGACCCGGGCCAGGTCCGAGCCGGCCTGCCTGGAAATGTGAAAAAAAACCTGATGGGAAACGTGGCTCCGGAAGGACCCCGCGCAGAGAAATGTGACTCCGCCCGGAGGCAAATGCGCCAGGACTTAAGCTTGTGGTGCCCCCCTGTCCCTGCTGCCTGGGCCTTTGGGCCTTCCCCTGCCGGGCTCGACTCTCTACGCACAGCAGCCCCGACGCGTTCACCGCTGAGCTGCTGGGTTGTTCTGGCCGCCGTTCTTCTTGCTTGGCGAGGCTTACACCGATGCATGTACAATCTAGCATCTAGACTACGTTGGTGACTCGCTTCTAGGTCGTTCATGCAATCCAATGCAACATCAGCAAAGTTTAGGTGGGGTGAAAGAAGTCGAGTTCCGATAGCCGCGCCGGAACACAACAATGTCCACGGATTGCGTGTTAGTGTTTTCTTCTGCACATGCCAAAAACTCCGTCAGATCGTGCATTCTTTATGTACAGAATACAATGGAGAAACACAGTTTCACATCTTATTTGATATTGGTATACAGACCTCGCATTCTCTGCCACATTTTGCTTTACAATCATTTCTCTGAATCACATTTCTTTTCATTTTTCCATTCCTGTGCCATACTTTTTTCCATACTTTCACCCAGACAGTCTCCAGGAATTAATTATATTGGAAAACCTTGCCTATGCAAGGCCGTGGGGATTACTAGAATATTTTTTTATTTTTTGGGGGTTCTTAAGCACATAGTAGTTTACAAGTAATGGATCTATCAGGGCTTTGTGATAGGACTGCATTTAAGCTTTAAGTCCCTCTTCCCTGAACCGCTGGTGTAGATCTCCGCAGCTTTCCTTTCGTTGGAGAGGACTTCCTGACTTTGCATAGCCGTAGCCCTTGATTCAAAGGGGAAAAGGAGGGACCCTTAATGGGGACCCCTACCCTATAATGGGCTATATAATGGGTATATAATGACTATATCATTGGTATATACCTAGGGGTCCTTATTAGGGGTCCCTCCTTTTACCCTTTGATTGATGCTATGCGACGTCTGCAGTGTTTTTTCCCGTGAGCCGTGTGCAGGCTGCATCTCTAAGGGTCCAAGTACCTGCTTATCATGTACTCCCCAGAATCCTAACCTACATAAAGGTCGGTCCATGTACCCACATAGTACATACTTTGGCCCCAAAGTACCCATACAGGGATTACGTTTAAGGCCAAAATAGATTCCATTTGGGTACACCTAGACCCCCCAACTACCCTCTAATATACCCCAAATACGGACTAATAAGGACCATAAGGGCTCTATTAAAGGGCCTTCGGGGGGCCCTGGCATGGACCCTTTGGGAGATTTCAGACGGTGCACCCAGTTTCTGGAGCTGATCATGTCCGCTGTCCGGTTTCAGACCCATGGGAGTACGAAGGTGTCGCATGCAAGGGCCCCAAGCCGCTAAACCCCTGCCTAACTTAGTAGCTGAGTGAATACACTTTACACTTTTTGGGACAGTGTTGGGGCTGATGCAACCCACTATGTGTACGCTTTTGGGGGCTTATGAACTCAGCAACGAAGCTAAACCTTAAACCCCTACCTGCCCTAAACTGTGGGCTTTGCTGTCAAGGATTTAAGTTCGGAGGTGTGGGCTTTTGCTTTGCAACTTGAGAAGCCTTTGGGGTGGCAGATACTTGGGGGGGGGGGGTTGGTACCCGACACCTAAGTCTTAAACCCTCCTAGCCCCAAAGGGTTAAGGATTTGGGGGCTTAGGGCTTAGGGTTTAGGGCTGGGGGTTCACTTTGAATTCCCTGGCTCCTGCTTTGAGCAGGTGGTTTGAGGTTTTCGCCTCAAATTCAAGTCTCCCGACAAGACTCTGCTCTGCCTGCCCCCCCCCTCCAATGGGAGTTTCCGAGAATAGGGGACCCTGGTATAGCACCTTAGATGAAATAAGGCACCCCCTATTTCGGAAACTCCCAAATAATGACAAATTCTACACATTCTAGACTGTACGCAGACTGTATACCCTACCTAGACCCCAAAGCGAAGCACCTTGTTCCAGGCTATCTTAATTAGCTAGTTTCTTATCATAGGACCCTCCCCAAACCGCTATTACATGTAGGGTCCGAATCAAGAACCGAATTAACCCTAAATCTGAAACCCTGAACCTCTGAACTCTAAACCCTAAACCCCTTAAACCTGAAACAATGAACCTTAATCCCCCCCCCCCCCCCCACGTTGCTTGTCGAGGATGTCCAGGATAAGTCTGCCATCAGCCCCTCTCAGTATCGGTGGGCCGCGGAGCGCGACAGGCGGGATTGGGTTTACGGTGTTGGTTTTGACGTTTGGGGTTTGCAGGCCCAAAGGGTCCTATGTGCTGTTATGGGGGATACTTCCCTAGGCCATTATAATAGTAATTCCTAATAAGGAAACCCTACATTCTACCATATCGGTACACAGGACCCTTTGGGAGGTTTGGGAGTTTAGGATTTAGAGTTTCGGGCCCAGTATCGGCGGGCCATGGAGTCCGACAGGGTGGATGAGTTCAAGGTGCCGAAGAACCGATACTTCGTAACCCAAACGGTCCTATGTACCGGTTTCCATATTAGGAATTACTATTATGACTTAGGGAAGTATGCCCCATAACAGTAAACAGGACCCTTTAAGTAATAGCTAAGGTTCATATTCCATGGTAGGGCCTGTAGTATAAGATGAAAGTTGTGCCGCATAAGTACTTGTGCACGATTTTTGTCGATTAGGATTCCATTTTCTGACCACAACCCCAGACCCCGTGTTCATTCCTTAATACCAATATGCATCGGAACAAGATGTCACTAGATAAGAGCGACAATAGGCGGTCAACTTTCCCAAAACTCGTAAGCCCTGAACACCAAGGGTCCAAATACCTAATAATCGTTGGACTCTCCAAGATCCTAACCTACATAACTACTATCCTAAAACCGAGTACCTAATTATTGGGTCCTTTGGACCCTTGCAGGAACCTAAGACCTGGTTGGAGTCCCGATGTTTGCGGGCAAAAACTGAACAGAAGCTTTTCGGACTGCCGACAATATCATATCATATATTTCATCCGAGAAAGCCCCAACACCTAAAGCCTACGCCCTACCTGGACCCTAAAGAACCTACCTTTCGAGGGCTCCTTATTATGATTTCCTCGATTATCATTCCTTGAAGAGGTAGGTTATGTAGGGCCTGGATAATCCCTAAGGGGAACCTTGTATAACAACCCCAAGCCCTGAACTAAGAGCCCTGGCTGGACTCGACAGCCGGAGTTGTGAGATTCGTGGTGAGATTCTTGTCCATCCTGAACCCTACCTGTAGGATCACACCCTGCCCCTTCTTTACGTTTCCTAGCTTTCAAGATAACAGATCCTAACCACCACCCCCAAAAGGGGTAGGGTATGACCCTGTCGGACTCTCGGTAAGCCCTAAACTAAACATAGAGCCCAGTCCCTAAACCCTACAGACCCTGAGCTTCGTCTTCAAAGCCAAAACCCTAAAGCCTACACCCTAAACCATCAACTAGGATGCCCAGTAGTACCCTTATTCCCTTTTTGTAGTCCTATGTTCCTTCTAAAGTTACCCAATACCAAAAAGAGAGGCTTTTTAAGTCTTAGGTTACTGGGTATCCTAGTCAACCCTGTCTCTCTGAGCCTCTAAGCCCCAAGCTCCTCAAAGCCCGAAGCCCCCATAGTATCCTTCCTTCAAGCCTGAATCCAAAGGAACCCTCAAACCTCTAAACCGTGAGGTTCTTGTCCATCCTAGAACTCCAAGCCCCTGCGTACCCACGGCTCCTTGGTCTGTAGCTTCTAGCATAGGGGTTTCAGGATCTTGAAAGGATATCTCAGGGTTTACTTAGAGGAACATGGGACTTAGTAAGTAGGGTTATAAGCTATAAGTACCCTATAATTGTATGACCATAGTTACCTTACTTATAACCCTAGATACTAAGTCCCATGATCCTCCAAGTACTCTAAACCCTAAACCCTTCTAGTACCCCTACAGATCCCTTAAAGGAACCCAAACCCCTAGGAACTAAGTCCCATGATTCTCCAAGTACTCTAAACCCTAAACCCTTATAGTACCCCTACAGATCCCACTTAAAGTGGCCCTAAACCCTAACTACTAAGTCCCATGATCCTCCAAGTACTCTAAACCCTAAACCCTAAACCCTTAAAGTACCCCTACAGATCCCTTAAAGGAATTTCTTTAATTTTTAGTTATTGTTACTACGTTTCATGATCCTTTAAGTAGCCCCTAAACACTGAACCCTACAAACCCCATAGATACCTCTAAGGAACCCTTATAGATCCCTTTAAAGGAACCCTGATAATAACCTTTTAAGGAACCCTTTAAGGAACCCTAGTTGCTAAGTCCCATGATCCTTTAAGTAGACCCTATAAACCCTAAACCCCATACATCCCTTTAAGGAACCCTATAGGTCCCTTTAAAGAGCCTTTTAAGGAACCCTATAGATCCCTTAAGGTTGCTAAGTCCCATGATCCTCCAAGTAGAGTTTGCGGGTGAAGCCAGGGCTGGCGGATGAGGTTTCAAGGGCTTCGGGAATAAAGGGCCTTTGGGCACATGGGTTCCTTTGAGAGGGTTACTATAAGGGTTCCTTAAAGGGATCTATAGGGTTCTATAGAGGGTTTAGGGTTTAGAGTTTCCGAAGATTAGGGGTACCTTATTTTGGGGGCTTTTTAATAAGGATCCTACTATTTAGGGTACTATATTTGGGACCCGTATTTTCGGAAACTCCCACATGGGGTCATTTGGGTTGCAGGGATTTGCAGGCTTCGGGGTTTGATTTGGGGTGGGTCTACGTAATGCTGGAAGGAGCCGGGCTGATTGGTGGTTAGTAGTCCTGTTCCTTTACGATTCCTGAATACGATCGTACTCTTCGAGATGCTAGCCTGCAAGCCTACTATCCATGACCTAACCCCTAAACCCAAGTACGTAATTACTAGGTCCTTTGGACCCTTAGGAAAGGATCGGGAAGCCATTGAAGTAGGCAGGCTCAAGGTTCGGTGTCGGGTTTACTGTTCAGGGGGTTAGGTTCAGGGGGGTTAGGGTGTTAGGAGTTTGGGGTTCACGCCGCTTGGAGGAACCCCATAAAGTTCCCAAGCCTATAAACCCTGAAACCCGACCACCCCTTGAAACCAGGGAACCCTAACACCTCCAGCCTGGAGCCTCTTGCTCTGCTGAGGGACGGTGGCTTAGGAGCTGAGATGGAGGCCTGAAGCTAAGAAGGTAGGGTATGAGCCCGAAATCTACAGAATCCTAAACACCCTAAACATATAGCACGTGCTAACCATAAGACTGGGTACCCTAAGAAGGGCGAGAGTATGGTTGATGATATGAATCCTGCATTACGCAGAATGAGGAATGTACCATATAATTCCCATAGCTTAGGGTCCTTAGGGTAATGCATGGTTTTTATCATCAGCAGTATTACCCTCTAGGTAATCCCACCCTCCGGCCAGACTTGGAGGATCATCGGACTTAGTAACGAAGCTATCGAATAAGGTAACTATACCTGGAGGCTCCATTGTAGTTCCTTTTTTTGGATTAATTATAGGGTCCTGAGTCTAAACCACAAAAAGGAACTACTACAGAGCCTCTGGGGTATAGTCCCAATCACTTGCCAGTCCAGTTAAAGTATCTTTTCCCCGACTTACTAATTCCCAAGATCCTCAAAGTAGCCCAAGTCCTAAACTCCTGTGGTAACCTTACCTATAGTCTCCAATGTAGTTCCTGTTTGGGTTAACCAAAAACTATATTATAGGATCCTAACCATAAAAATTGCATAACCCCCAAAAAGGAAGTACAATGGAGACTATAGTTATCCCTTAAAGGTACCCCTAAGGCCTGACTTACTAAGTCCCAAGATCCTCCAATAGCGAGTACCAAGGATCCTCTGCGTGGCGCGGCGATATTTGCGAAAAAACAAGTCGCTTGGTCATCAGCTGTCGTAGGGCGCACCTAAGCCCTAAAGAACCTACGTCTTGGGATCTCCGTATTCGGATTTCTCTATGGAAGCTCTTAAAACGGTATGTTTTTTGGGGTTAGGGTTGGGTTTAGTTTGAGGGCGTTATGCCTTAAATGTAGACTCCGTATAGGATCCCATGATGTCGTTGTAACCTGTTGTGAGCCTGATTGAGTCCTGAACCCCAAACCTTGAGCCCGGCTGCCTTCTCCATACCCTTTGAGGTTTAGGGTTTAGGGTAACCCCTACACCCTGACACTTAAGCCCTTGAAGCCCTAAACCCTGATGGGTCTAGGTTTTGATACAGGGTTGAAATCAGTTCTGTACATGATGTGTATGTATGCATGTATGTATGATTGCTTGTATGCCCCCCCATGATCCCCCAATGCAGAGGATTTTCAGGGTTTGGGGGCTACTTTGGTTTTGTGGGTTGATCTATGTGTCGTTTTTGTCTCTGCATGCCTGCATGCGGGACAGCGCTTCGGTACCCCGTCCACCTCGCGCCGGCTCGAGGTATGTGGACATCACTGGTGAGTTTCACTTGGACCTCATCCAGGACCAAGATAGTTTACCTCTACCGAACGCAAGCTCGAAGCATGTATCTCCCAAAGGGTCCTTTGTAATTACCGAAATAGTAGAATGCAGGGTTTCCGTTTCCATATTAGGAATTACTCTTATGACTTAGGGAAGGATCCCCCATAACAGTACATAGGACCCCCTTAACCCTGAACTTTCAAGGCCCCCCGAACCCAAAGCCCCTGAAGCCCACTCGGGAGTTACCCAGACCTTCCAGAATCCCTTAATTAAGGAATATACCTTAAGTTATAGTAGGATCCCTAATATGATTTAAGGTATATAAATATTCCTTAATTAAGGGATTTTGGAAGGTCTGGGTAGCTTGAGGGTTTATAGAATTAAGTTTTGACGGTTCATGGGTTCCGGTGTTTGAGGGCATTTAACTAGGCTTTCCAGGCTTGGGGTTTTGACTAGGCTTTCCAGGTTTGGGGTTTTGAAGGTTCAGGGTCTAGATGCTGTATGGTTTAGGGCTTCTGGCTTCGGGCTGGTGTAGGTTGACGGGAGGGGGGTAAGGGGCCTTAATTAATACCAATAATAAGGACTTAATAAGGCCAATTGAAGGAAGTGTAGTCCCCTACCCTCCTCCCCATTACCCTCTAAGGTCCCTGTGACAGGACAATGGGGGCGCCCCCATCATCCTGCCCCGCACGACAAAGACCATCGCGCAGCTGTGTTCCCGGTCTCAACGATCTGATTGAACGCTTTAGGGTTTAGGGGTTCGGGTTTAGGGTTTAAACCTTACCTACTGGCTCCATAGTAGGAAGCAAGAGAACTGTTTGGCCAGCACGCTTTTCAGAAGTAGAACCTGCTTTCACTTTCGGTGCGCTCACGCCAGTAACTCTTCGAGCCAGCTCAGCTACTGCAGAGGCAAGACCCTAAACCCTAAACCTTAAACCCTAAACTCTAAAACCCTAAACCCTAAACCCTAAACCCTAAAACCCTAAACCCTAAAACCCTAAACCCTAAACCGTAAGAGGACCAGACGATCACTACTACCACCCAACTGCCAGGATGCCCCGTCGTACCCTTATTCCCTTTTAGTAGTCCTGGGGTCCCTATAATATTACCCAACACCAAAAAGGGAGCCCTTTTTTATTCCTAGGGTTTAGGGTTTAGGGTTTAGGGCTTAGGGTTTAGGGTTTAGGGTTTAGGGTACTGGGCATCCTAGACCTAGGGGGGTGTACATAAGAGAACACTAGATCTGGTTGTCGAGCCCCAGTTCTTACAACTTTCTTGCTGCGGCCTTGTTCCTGAGCACTACTAGGATGCCCAGTAGTACCCTTATTCCCTTTTTGGAGTCCTAGGTTCCTTATAAAGTTAAACAATACCAAAAAGAGAGGCCTTTTTATTCTTAGGTTACTGGGTATCCTAGACTACTTAAAGAATCGCACAATCCCAAACTCTAAACTTCACCCAAAGATTCATGATCATGATCCTTATATGACGTCTCCATTTCAGGAGCCTTTCGCGTAAGCCCAACCATTGAAATCCTGAACCGAGGCGAGTACTTGCCGATGGACGGCCTGGTCATTGCCGAAGGCAATGACTTGTCTGACGACATCTTGAAGAAGTGCCTCAAGGTTTAGGGTTTAGGGTTTAGGAAGAAGTACCTTAAGCCCGAAGGGTCCTATGTACTTTTACGGAGGATACTTCCCTAAGTCATAATAGAAATATACCTAATATGGAAACTCTACATTCTACTATATAGGTACATAGGACCCTTGGGGAAGGGCTTTGAGTTGAGGAGCTTGCTTTTGTTGTTTGGGGCATAGTGTTTGGGGTTTCTGACGACATCTGGAAGAAGTGTGTCTTAGGGGTACTTAGAAATATTTTTTGATTTTTGGTTATTATAATCTCTAAGAAACAGCTAAAAATACAATTGTTGCTAGGGTTCTAAGTTCAATATAGGTGTGTGTGTGTGTGCATATCTATAGAGGTACGGCTGCAGCATTCCTGAGCGCCTCAGTGGGGAGGCCGCGAAGAAGTTCGCCAGCGACACAGAGTCGCCCCGCTCATATGAGTAGGCTTAAGGTGCGCTCTTTTTTCTGGATTATCTTCAATTTTTGTATTGGAAGTTCAGTTCAGGGAACTATGTCAGTTGTGAGTCCAGCGGAAAAAGCAGGGGTTCATTCGATTTGGGCCATGCTGGCCGCCGGTGCATTAGTAGAATCGAGATATGCACAGCCTAGGTTTACCTTTGGAACAGTATTCTCTGGGGTTCATGCATATAAATACAGTATGCACTATGCTGTACCGAAACCCTACTCTATTTGTGTAGGCCCTTATACCGGCTACAGTCCGTGTTGACGAAGAGGGTTCTCAACTACGACTACTACGAATACTACGACTACTACGACTACTACGACTACTACGGCTACTACGACTACTACGACTACTACGACTACTACGACTACTACGACTACTACGACTACTACTACTACTACTACTACCACCACCACCACTACCACCTGCTGCAAATACAACCTGCTGCTACCTGCTACTACTGCTGCTGCTCCTACCACGACCATGTTTTGACCTAGCAGGACCGACGGTCCATTTCGGTGGTTGTTGCCTGATATGTTGTATGAGCATGAGTTATTGGCAGAGTGGGGCCGGCCAGGCGGCCTTTGAGCTGGCATGAGAGCGCGCGCTCCCTCGGACGTGCTCAGAGTTCCAAACGTAGGTTTTGGATCTGGCGTCTCAGAGTGCGCCGTTGCGCGTGCCCCAAGTGGCTTAGGGCCCGCCTTTTTGCAAGCAGCGCCCATCCTGGCCCGGCCCGTCCCATCCACCGGCTGGGAAATTTCTGGATCGGGTTGCGCAAGGTCTGAAGATGTCGAGGTTGAGGTTGACGAAACATTCCGGCACACCATGGCCTCGTCAGCCAAGATGCGGAGGAAGGTCGTGCTGGCTGTTCTGAGCTTACAGAACATGGTTGCATGGTTGTCATGACATGTGGATGTTGGAGTTCCGAGTTTCGAGGCTCGCCCGCCCTGGCGATGAACTACGATCTCTTAAAAACGAGCCAAATCAAGGGCACTGCATAGGCAGGTTGAATGGTTTGGTGAACCATCCTAATTAAGCCGAATAACCCGGACCCCAGACCTTGAGACTTTAATCCCAAACCTTAAACTGCAAAGCCCTAAACCCTCACTCCTACCCCGTCAGCCGAGCCCTGCATCTGTAAGTAAGCTTTAACCCCAACCCTGTTTCTTCAACCCTGTTTCCCAAACCCTAACCCACAAACCGTATCATGTAGTGATATAGCCTTGTAATACGCTCGTGAACCCTAGTAAAATCCAATATGGAACCGCTATAAAGCCTTGATATGGAAGTTTTCGAAAGTCAAGGACCATAACATAGTAAGCTACATAGTAGGATCTTCATTATAAGGACCGCCAAATAATAAGGTACCCCTAAGTTTCGGAAACTCCCATATGAATTACAAACCCTAAACCCAACCCGGCTGACCCTACGTTCACAACCCGAAACTGTAGGAACTCTTGGGGTATCGTGGTCCTTGTCAGACTTTAGTTAGGCAGGGCTTTGGGACATTTTACATTTGCTCTTATTGGGTTTGAGAGGATCTTACCTACTAATATTGTTCAAAGGCTTTAAAAGCACCTCCTAGTTAGGATGGATGTGTCCAAAGATGAGCTGGAGCTACTTGCCTGAAGTGTGCTCGATGGTTCGCCTCTTTTGGTAAGGGTTCAGGGTTGCTTTGCTTTACGGGTGTAGGCCTTTGTTGCATTCATTTCGTCTTGTTTGCAGGTTTGATAAGGATTTATACTGGGAATTGCTCGGGGGCCTTGTTTTGGGGTGCAGACTTTTAGAAGGACCTCACTTTCTGGCGTTCTAGACGAGGGTCCCAGAGTTTCTGAAATCTAGCTTAGAGGCCAAACTGTTCTACCTACAAAGCCTGTTTTTAACCAGCAGCCACGTGCCGAATTACCGAACTGTGACTTAGTGAGGGTCAGGCTTCAAACGCGCACAGCCCGAGACTCTACGGGTTCAGTGCTCGCAGTCCCGGGTCAAGGGTTTAGGGCTGAGAGCTTAGGGCTTATAGTCTAGGGATTGGGGCTTATGCTTTAGGTTTAATTTTAGGGTTATCGTAAAATGTGGGAGCATCTAAGAAAGAAAGATGATGACGACTAGTATGCCCCACCGTCTCCACTGTACTTCCCTTTGTGATTAACCAATGTGTTACTTAGAGCCGTACAACAACATCAAGATGACCAGCCAAAAAGGAACTACATGTGGAGGGAATCGGTGTACGTTCTTTCCGGGCAGGAGAACATTTCCAGGTCAAGGGCACTGCTGTGAGCAGATCCACATCCCCAAGCCCTAAATCCCAAAGCCCTAACCTCTAACCTCCCAATCACTCCCACTCCCAAATACCAGCGAAAACGGCACGAACAAAGAGTTTCGCGTGAGCAGAACACTAAGCCAAAAGCTCTCGCGGGAGAGTCTATCCATACTCTCTCTCTTGTAGTTCCTCTTTGAGTAACTTTATCAGATACGAAATATACACTTGATTGGTTGAAGCAATGAAGGAACTACAGTGAAGACAAAAGGTTGGTCAGCCCAACATCAATACTCCAACGCAGGTTTAGAAGTTAAGGGTTTAGGGAAACCTAACATCAATACCAGCGCTTGCGGTTGCAAGGCCTGAATGGATCTAGATGAACGAGCCCTAAGCCCAAAAGCCAGACCCTAAAGCTAAACCCTACCTGGACCCTAAGAAACCTACCTTTTTAGGGTTCCTTAATATGATTTCCTTATATACATCCTTGAAAAGGTAGGTCATTTAGGGTTAAGGTATAGCGATACTGCAGACCCTCTAAACCCTAAACACCCCTCGCTGTCGTCAGGTTCGCTCTCATGCGCTTCGCATTAGCGGCCGGAGTGCCTTGATCTTCAGCTGATTGAATCAAACAGCTCTATCCACACCACCGGAAGGATCTAAAAAGTAGATCCCGTAATTTGGGACCCTGCCAGTGCAAGGTAAGGGCTCGGGCAGCGTGGTTGAACAATCCACGTTAACCAGCCTACTATAGGAGACTGTATAATTACCGATATTATTGCTCAGGCTTCCTTTTTCTAATCATACTTATAAAGGAGCCCAAAACCCTTTTCTAATTATTAAAGCCCCTATATTTGCGAGCCGTGCCAATCCCCGCAATCCCCTTCCCCATTGCCCCCTACGAACCCTAAGGCTCCAAGGACTCACATCTTAAGTTTTTTGGGCCTAAAGACCATATTATACGGGGCTTCTGGGCCATTTTGAGCCTTAGGGTAAGGATCCTGGGAGAAACCGCTTTGACACTCCGAGGGCTTAGGACGCTCCAGGCATCGAAATGAAGGAGGTGTTTCGTCTAGGGTTCGTAGGACCCGGGGGGGCAGAGACGCCAAACATTCTGGCTCGTGAACCCTAAACCCTAAGGCTCCATTCCATGTATATATACTTATGCCTTGAAGGTGTCCCTATGTACGTACTTTTGTGCCAATGTATATACTATATGGTGCATGAAGGCTTTGGGTAAACCGCCGTAAACCCTGAATGCCAAACTTTACTTTACAGCGGATCCGCATGTTGCAGGGAGCAGTACTTTTTCGTCCTTCTGTGGCACAAAATGCCTAGTATGGCCTGCATGCAAGTCTGTTTTAGACGCCAAAGGTAATCGCCATGATTTACCACAGTCTTGGACCAATCTGACCCCGGCAGCCCTAAAGCTCTGCGCCCTGAGGCACCGAACCGGAAACAGCAAACCCTCACCCTTCCTTGTGCTCACCTAATTGCCTTAAGACTCCAAGTATACGAACAGTACCTCCTTTGGGGTCTAAAGTTTGTAAATACTACAAACTTTGAGCTATTTGGAGTCTTAGGGTTATGCCCTAAACCCCAAAGCACTGAACCCTACACGCGTCGAGCCCGACATCTGAAGCTCCCACACTCCGGAGCGGCCCTACATGGACTCTTAACAGCCCCACATGGGAGTTTCCGAGAATTAGGGGTAGGGCACCGTCCTTAGAAAAGGTAGGGCACTTGGGGTTTAGGTACACCTCACATTCTAAATCTTACACCTGAACCCCCAAACTTACCAACACTATTTTGGGGGTTCCTTATTACAGTATTATGGGCCCCAAAACTCGAAGGCCGCGATATTAAACCCCATAATACCCCTTATAGTAATCCTCGTAGACCCCTTTACAGGGAACCCTTAGAGGGAACCCTATTTTCATTATTAAGGCCCCTACATTAAGCGGGCCCGAGCCCCGTTCGAGGTGCCGATTCTGACTTTCTGCCGTGGCTCGCAGATGCTGAACGTCATGAGAGGCTTCGGTACCTGGGGTTTAGGGTTTAGGGAGGAGTACACCTGAAATCACAGAAGGGGTCCCAGTATAGTTTAACGTATATTCCTTATTAAGCAAGGGGTATTACAGGTCTGGGCAATATCCCTTCTGAACGTCATGAGAGGATTCGGTACCCGAGAGTCCACACAGCCGAAGATCCTTTTCTAGGGCGTTAGGGTTTTGGGGTTTTGGGGTTTTAGGGTTTTGTGGGCTTAGGGTTTTGGGGTTTTGGGGTTAGGGTTTTGGGTTTAGGGTTTAGGGAGGAGTATACCTGAAATCATAGAAGGGGTCCTAAAATAGTTTAACGTATATTCCTTAAGCAAAGGGTATTGAAGGTCTGGGCAATATCCCTTCTCTGAAGGTTAAGGTTTTCACTGTGTTAGGGTTTCGGCGCAGGGCTCAGGGCTAGGGGCGTACGGTGTAGGTTTAGGGTCTTAGGGTCTTAGGGTCTAGGTTTAGGGTACGCCCTGAAGTACCTACGTACCTTAAAATAAAATTTATAGACTGTATATGGAAATCGTCTCAACGAGCCCCAAAAGGGTAGCTTGTTTTTGGTTCGGGTATTTCAAGAATCGCACGGTTTAGGGTTAGTTTTTCTGGCTTGCTATCAACACCTTATAGGGCTTAACTTTAAAAAGCCCTCCAGTGTCCTCTAAACCCTACATCCCTTAACCCCAAAAGCCCTCCCGTGTCCTCGTCTAAACCCTCAAACCTAAACCCTAAACCCTGAAACCTAAACCCTACACCCCTCAAGCCCTAAAACCTAAACCCTATACCCTAAAACCTGAGCCCTAAGTCCTAAACCCTAAAACCTGAACCCTCAAACCTGAACCCTAAACCCTCAAGCCCGAAACCATCGACCGGTCCTCTAAGCCTCGATCCCAGCCTAATGGGCTCTTAGGCTTTCGAGCTGAGGGCTTCCTGCACCCCAGGTTCTAGCTATGTAGGGTTGTACCTTAGGGTTGCGGATTTAGGTTTAAGGTTTAGGGTTTAGGGTCTAGGGTTTAGGGTTTAGGGTCTAGGGTTTAGGGTTCAGGGTTTAGGGTTCAGGGTTCAGGGTTCAGGGTTAAGGTTTAGGGTCTAGGGTCGTACCTAGCCCTTTTTGAGGGTATCTAGTTTCCTATTTCGCAGAAACTCGCCATAAAACTAGGAAACAAGTGATAGGGTGTTACTCTATAGTCTATAGCGGGAGATGGAGATGGATGCTACTCTATAGTGTGTACCGGACAGACAACCAATAGTAGACAGTTGCCGCCGGTCCCGGACCTGGGGCGTACAACATGAGCAGGCTCTTCGACGTCAAGGCAAGGATTCCAAGATCAACCCGAGCGATTTCGAATCGCTTGGGGGACATGGCCAAGACAACGGCCAAGTTTGACAGGGAAAAGGCCATGCCTGGAGCGTGACCAGCAGAGTGGAATGCCAATGAAGAGCCCTGGGACGACGACGCAAAGAGACCAATTTCTGCTGGATGGACAACTACACCACGCCCCTCGAAAGGGCAGCGGTCCCGGCTTGGGTGATGGCCAATGCTGCGGAGAGGGAGCCAAGCTGGGCCTTGGCGCAGGGGAGCAAGGATTTTGCCTGAGGCAGAACCGGTGCCTCACCTCGCTGCACGGACCCTCAACCCCGTAGTAGAAGCCCAAAAGTTGGATTCCCAACAGAGCACTATTCGGCCTTAATCCGGTTTCCAACTTTATGGGGTTTACTGTAGCCCAAAACCCGGTTTGAAGCCTCATAGAACCCTTGCAGTACCCAGAGCCCTTTGACAGCGCATGTTAAACCTAGACCCTCAAACCCGACCCTAAACCCTGAAACGCTGATGCTAAAACAGTAAAGCCGAAATCCCTAAACGCTAAACCCCTAAACTCTCATCCCAAAGCCGTAAACCTTGCTGCCAGGAGGGACTCTCATAGGTGACATCGAGAGCCAGACCGACAGCAAGATCAAGCATCTTTCACCAAATTCGCTGTTGCCTTCTCACTAGTTCTCCCAGTGGGCCCTTGTTGAAGTCTTAGGTTCCTGATAAAGGTGCCCAGCACCAAGAAGGGAGCTCTTCTTAACCCTAGGTCACCGGGCATCCTAGCTCAACATGATCCCTTGGGGTGTGCTTTGAAGGAAGAAGGGTTTACGGGTTTAGGGTTTAGGTTTTCTTCCAGTTAGATAGTCCAAGGGTAAAGGGACAGACCCTTAGTAAGGACCCCCAGGTATATACCCTTAATACAGCGATTAGATACCCATTATATAGCCCAGTATAGGGTAGGGTCCCATTAATTAAGGGTCCTCCTTTTCCCCTTTGAGATAGGTAGCTCATCCTGTTTGGGGTTTCCGGTTCGGCGTTTGCATATTGGTGGGGTACTGGGTGCGGTGTGTGTCAGTTTCGCATCCCAGGCGCGACTTCAACACCCTACTTGGAGGATCACGGGACTTGGTAAGTAAGGTTATAAGTACCGTAATTGGGGTTACAAGTAACTATAGCTGTAGTTGCCCTATTTATAACCCCAATTATGATCCTCCAAGTACTCTAAACCCTAGCCCTTATGGTATCCCTATAGACCCCTTAAAGGAACCCTAAACCCTAAATACTAAGTCCGTGATCCTCCAAGTAGAAAGAGTCTAAACCTGTAGCTCCGGAGACTCTGAAGACTGATCCCGGTTCGGCAGTGATCGAACCTACTCGGGTTCAGGGGTTTTAGGGTTTAGGGATTTTAGGGTATAGGGTTTTAGGGGTTTAGGGTTTTAGGGTTTAGGGTTTAGGGTTTTTTGCCCCAAGTTACTAAAACATAAACCCCGAATCCCATGCCCCTAGTACCTAAAGCCTTGAACCGAAACCCCAAGCCTTCAAGCTTCGAATCCTAAACCCTAAGCCCCAATGCCTCGAATCCCAAACCCTAAAGTAAAAGCCAGAAAGTTGGAATATGATTATCCTAAGCCCTTAATGGTAAATTATAGGGTATCCTACCCTGAAACCATATTCCAACTTTCTGGAGTTCCCTTTAAACCTTAAAGCCTCGAATCCCAAATCCATAAACCCTAAAGCCCTGAACCCAAGCCCCCAACCCTAACCCAGAGCCTCCAACTACAGCTCCTTCCCGTATCGGTGTGGAGCTCGGGGTTGTTACTTGGAGGCTCGGAGGACTTAGTAAGTATATAATATAGGTACAAGATCATTCGGGTACCATCAGGCCTACTCTCAGCGTTGCTGTGAGGCTTTTAGGGTTCATAAGCGCCCGATTTGGGTTATGTTTTTCTAACTCTCTAAAACTAAAGCAAGTCCCCGACCCTCCAAGCACCCCACACCTAAGTGGAAGCTCTTAGAACCTAAGGACTGAAACCCACGAGATGTGAATTGCAGACCCCCCTCCCAGCCCCGCCCCCTCTCCCGTACAGACCCGAGGCATGACGATGCTTTCGGTTTAGGGTTTAGGGTTTAGGGTTTAAGAAGACTGCCCACGAATGGACTCCCGAAGCCCTAAACCCTAAGCCCTCGGAGCCCCCAAGCCCTAGAAGCCTTGAAACCTAAACCCTAGAAGCCCTAAACCTCAAACTCAAGAAGCCCCAAACTAGAAGCCCTAAACCCTAAACCCTAGAAGCCCTAAAACCTAAACCCTTCACGCTTTCGCAGCACTTTTTCGGAGAAAGGGTGGAGTTCAAGTTTAAAAAAGAAGCCCTAAACCCTAAACCCAGTGCCATGTCCTAGGCATCTCCGGGATTCGTCGGAGCCGGCGCCGCAGCTGAAGAAAGGTTTGGGGTCTTTCCCTAACCCTTAGGCTCTACGGGCTCATGTTTTAAGGCTTTAGGGCCCAAAGACCATACTATATAAGGCATTTGGGCTATTTTGAGCGTTTAGGGTTTAAGGGTCCATGTGCCCAAACAGTATATATACTTGGCCCCACTGAATCGGGACTACTTTGAGGCCAACGTATACATTATCTGGGTACATGGACCCTTTTGGGTTCAAGGTTTAGGCTAAGGGTTTATTAGGGCTGAGCGATAAGGGTTTAGGCTCAGGGCTTAGGGTTTAGGGTTTAGGGCCGTTTAGGGCCTAGGGACAACCTTAACCCCAAATACCTACTTTTTAGGGACTTGTATAAGGAGATCATTATAAGGAACCCTGAATGAGTAGGTTCCTCAGGGTCCAGGAAGGGGACGCTAAACCCTAAACCCTAAACCGCAAAGGACTACGACAGCTATCGCCACCCCATTACCGTGAAGCCGAAGACTCCTTTGGCGGAATGGCCGCTCGGTGTCGAGGGTTTAGGGTTTAGGGTTTATAGGATTTAGGGGTTCCGGGGTTTAGGAGTTTAGGGGTTTGGGTTTAGGATTTGGGGGTTTAGGGGTTCCGGGGTTTGAAGTTTAGGGGTTTATGGCTTTTCGGGGTTTAGGGTTTAGGGGTTCTGGGGTTTAAGGTTTAGGGCTTGCGGTTCTACGGTTTAGGGGTTTACTGGAGGGCGCTTAATAACTACCAATACTAGCCTGGGGGGGGGTGGGTTCCTATTATACTTATAGTAGAATGGGCCCCAAAACCCTTAATTCTTAAGGCCCCTATAATTAGGGGTTTAGGCTCGGAGTGGAAGCCCAAAGGGTCCTATGTACCGATATAGAAAGCTGTAATAGTGACTATAAGGATTATATGAGTGCCCTATTATATTCCTATCATGCCACTATTACAGGGTGGGGCCCCCTTCTAAGGTATCACGGTATCCCCCATAACAGTACATAGGACCCTTTGGGAAGGCAGAAGCCATCTCTTTTGGGGTTTGGAGGTCTCCTGGGTTTTTCCTTTCCCGTACGGCTTCGCCTTCGGAAGTCAGGGGTTCAGGGATTTGGGTTGAGGGTCTTAGGTTTAGGGTTCAGGGCTTCATGGCGGTTTAGGGGTTAGGGTTTAGATTTTTAGGGGTTTAGGGCTTTAGGAGTTTAGGGTTTAGGGCTTTAGGAATTTAGGGGTTTAGGGGTTCAGGGTTTTGGTTTCAGGGGTTTAGGGGTTTAGGGTTTAGGGTTCAGGGATGTTCATCGCTCCAGTGCGAGGCCTTGGCTTTTTTTGGGTGGCATTGAGCGGTTGGGACTTTTTGCTTCGTGTGTGTTAAGGATTTACGGATTTCCTTCGGGTGTGAGTATGGCTCAGGGTTCGCCGCGCATCGAGTGTAGAGGCTCAGGATAGGCGCCGGAAATAGATCACGTTATCGACAATGTCAAAACCGAGATTCAGAACACTGGCCCGGAGTGCGATCTGTGCAAGTTGTTGAGGCCATAGTTCTAATCCAAAAGACCATGTTCAGTCTTTACAGGGTTTAACGTCTACAGGGTTTAACTGAGCTTTCAATTTTTCTCTGGTGACAGGAAGCGCAAGCTGAGCAATGACCTCAGAGAGCTTCGTGCTGAGCATGCCCGCTCGCAGCAGCGCATTCTAGCCATGGAGCAGGAGCTCCAGCAGCCTGGCACGGATGACATGGCAAACCCGCGAGACATTTCGGCCTGAGTGCCAGTGGGTCTGCGGCACCGACGGAGACTTCGTTTTTTGGTTTTTGTGGTACTATGTGTGGCTTTCTGTGTTCGTGCCTTTCTGTGACCGCGAAGCCCCAGTTTCATTCGGGCGAGATTCGGACCAAACACCACACAACTTCAGGCAACTCAAGATGACCTCGTACCTCACCAAGCTTAAACCCGAAGTCCAGACATCTCCAAGCCCGAAAGCGCTAAAGATCGTCTTCCGTGGACATCTTCCAATTGAAGCGTACCCGGACCTGGCACACCCCAAAAGGGTTGTCATCTACAACCTTGTTCCATCCAGATATAGCAGAGCCCTAAGCTGTGGAGGTAGTTCTCCAGACCCTCAGCCCTAAGCCACTGCCCCTGAACTTCTAAGCCCTGCCTAGAGCCCCTACAGCCCTCAACCGCTCTGGCACTTTATAGAGAACCTCTACACTCCAGAGACCGTCATTGTATAGGTCTTAAAGAGCCACAGTCGGCCCTTCTGGCCTATAAAACTCCGACAAGTCCCTACAGTGTGTTTTTGAATCCTCCTGGCACCATTATGGAGCCCCTTATCTTTGTCATAGTTGGGTAGCATTCTACATTTTTATGGGTACTTCAACCCAATAAAGAATAAAACATGTACATTTTCAATCCTATCCCAACAATGAACTAGTTATAGAACCCTCATCGGTATCCGTATCGCAGCCAGGCCCCTAAACCCTAAGCCCTAAACCCTAAACCGTGAACCCTAAACCCTAACTTCCTCAACCCCTGCCCTGGGAGGTTTGCCGATAGCTTGGGCCAGCAGGGAGATCCAAACACACTGATGGAGTCACGGCGGCATTGGAAGAGCCAGGGTTGGTGAAGGTGTACTTGGAGGATCATGGGACTTATAGTAAGTAAGGTTATAAGGACCCTACTTGGGGTTATAAGTAGTTGTAGCTATAGGTACCATATTCATAACCCCAATTACTAAGTCCCATGATCCTCCAAGTAGGGCGTAGGGCTTAATTAGGAGTTGTGGATTTGGGGCGTGGGTTTTTTTTGGGGGTGGGTTTCAGGAGGTTTTGAGAGTTTGGGGCTTCGGGTTGGGGTTTAGGTGTTTGGGTGTGCAGTTTCGTGCTTAGGGTCTAGAGGTTAGGAGGATGAGGAGTTCGTAGCAAGGGTTAGGTCAGGTGTTGGGGGAAAGTTGTTCAGGAGTTCAGGGTTTGGGAAAAACAGGCGTCGAAAGGGGCTTATAAAGTTGCGGGGTATGTGTTTGCAGTTTTATTGACTGAAGGTGTTGGTTTTCGGGCTTTGTTTGAAACCCCTAAACGTCACCCTACATCCTGAACATCTACCTGAGCCCCGAGCCCCCGAAAAGCACTGCCTGCAGCCCCCAGTGCCTAAAAAGTTGGCGGGTCATGGTTTGGGGTTTAGGGTTACTTGATGGTCAGAAGGCCAGCCCTTTCACGACTTCCCTGTCTCTCTCAACAATGCCCTTTCTTGTGGCACAGAGACAGGCAACAGGCACCATCAGAGTCTACTCGGTTCCTGGCGACATCTTTGATGAGGTTGTCAACGACGACAGCAGAATGGAGCTGCTCATTGAGCGTGATGAGGAGACAATCTCAAGTAGGCTGGAGGCCAACTATACGCGATTAGGGTTTGATACATTAACATTTTTTGACCTCCTACTTACCACCTTCCCGAGCCTCCAAGTAGAATGTTAACATGCTTTGGGTGTAGGTTAAGGCCTTAAAGTGTGTTCCCACAGCGATCTGCTACCCAAATTGTATCCATGGCAGGTTTTGCGTCTAGGGTTCTTGGATTTGAGGTTTAGGTTTGAGGCAAGGCTTCAGGAAACTGCATCCCGGGGATAAGAACAAAGCTGGCAGGCTCTGGAGAGTGGGCTGAGGCGTTTCTTAGGGGTACTTAGAAATGATTTTAATTTTTGGTTATTATAATCCCTAAGAAACAGCTAAATTATAAGTTTTGCGAGGGTTCTAAGTTCAGTATAGGTTTGAATTTAGCAAAACCGGACCCAGAGACTCTACAGCCAGAAGAGCTGCTCCAGATGATCCAAGGTCAATTCCTATCACCATCAAGCTTCGAAGGAGTCGGGTTCAGAATACTTAAAGGATCATGGGCCTTAGTAACTAGGGGTTCAGGGTCCCTTTAAGGGATCTATATGGGTACTATAAGGGTTGGGTTTAGGGAATAGAGTACCTAAAGGATCATGGGGGACTTAGTAACTAAGGTTATTATTAGAGTCACTATACTTATAACTACTTATAACCCCAACTAAGGTACTTATAACCATACTTAGTAAGTCTCATGATCCTCCAGGTAAAATGCAGGGCTAAGGGCTTGTGGTGTTGTTGTGGGTCGTTTCTTGCACCCCACGTCCTGCTGTGCTTATGAGCCGTGCCGTTGTTGAGCTCATTTCAGCGTCGGATAAGACCACATCCAAAGCTGAACATGCGCCAACCCTGAATCTAACCCATACCGAGAGGCTTCATGGTTCATATTCAGGATCCTATAAGGTATTTCCAAAAAAGGAACTGCAATGTGGCCTATGGGGGTACCGCCAGACCATGTGGGGCTGCAATATTCCAACATACGTCACCGGGAAGGATAACCTTAAGGACCAAATGACCCTTAAAAGAAGGGGCCCCATGCAGTTACACTATGAACCCCTATAAAGTATATGAACCCTAAACTCCTAAACCCTTTTAGGGTTCTTTTCGTACTTAAGGAACAGCCAGCCTTGAGCACGTACTCAGAAGAAGCTGTGGTCTCGGTACATGTTGCCAAAGGGTCCTATGTACTGCTATGGGGGATACTTCTCTAAGTCATAATAGCAGTTCCTAGTAGGGAAACCCTACATTCTACTATATCGGTATATAATATAGGACCCTTTCGGGTTGGATCTAGAATCTAGGGAATTTACTACATTGATTGGTGCTTCTTATGCTACTGCGAAGGATAAAACCATGCCTTGAGCATGCAGGCCGCAGAAGCCCAAACCTTCCAAAATCCCGTAATTAAGGAATATACCTTAAATTATAGTAGGATCCCTAATATCATTTAAGGTATATTCCTTAATGAAGGAGCTTAGGTGGTCTGGTTCAGTTTCCGGGTTGCTTCGCAGCTCGCGGCGTCATGTGGGTGGTTGTCAAAATTATGGTCCTTGTTTGGGTCCTTATTATACTAGGTTGGATTTTGGGACATTTTTTATTTTCCTTATTTGGGTTTATAGGGGACCCTACATATACATATTTTTCAGGGTGTTTAAAGGCCAACGCAGTATAGTACGGCACCTATTATCTAGGGTTCCCAAAAAGGGACCATAGTTTTGACGACCACCCATGTGGCCGATTTTTTTGTCGATCGCGTTGAAGAAGCCCCATTGGAGCGGGGAGATTGAATATTGAACCTTGAGCTGCCCAGACCTTCCAAAATCCCTTAACTAAGGAATATACCTTAAATGATATTAGGGATCCTACTATAATTTAAGATATATTCCTTAATTAAGGGATTTTGGAAGGTTTGGGTGTAGTGGGCTTGGAAGCCCTACACCATAGCGCCTAAGCCCTAAACATAAGGCCTAAACCCGAAGCCCCAGAGCTTGGACCTGCAGGAGTTGGGTTGGAGTCTATCCCCCATGGCCCACAGTCCCGATGGCATCATCGAAGGCAGAATGCTTGCAGCCAAAGGTTCAGTCTTGGGTCTAGGGGTTTAGGATTTAGGAACTGAATGTGAGGACACAGTTGACACTTGAATTGCTCCTTCAAACACTGACGAGTGGTTTAGGGTTTATCCTGTGTTTGGTCTTAGTTTAGCACTAGCGGGGTTTAGATGTATTGCTTTGTGTGTCCCAAGCCTTTGTGGTAAGGGGACTTATCGACTTGGGGATTGAGGGTTTGGGGCGTGCAGGGTACGGCACTCAATCAGTGTTGAGGCTTCAGTGGAGGGTATTGGGTCGAGATGTGTGTGATTGTTCGGAGCGTCAACAATTCGGAATCCCTGCAGCGGTAACGCCTCCAGGTTTCTACGATCCACGGTACAATCCAAAGATGGGTCAGTTTGTTGTGGGCATCCTGGCTGCCAGCAGCAAAGCTCGGAATGTGTAGAGGCTAGAGTTCAGGGCTTGCAGGTTTGATGGTCTGAGGATGGTGGTGGGTTTTCTGGATTTGATGGTTGAGGGACGGAATTTCAGTTTCAGTGCTTTATTGCTAAACCCTAACTCCTTCATTTGCTCTTGTGTTCAAGTCTTAGCTCGAGCTTGCACAGCTCATGGCTCGAGAATCACTGCGACTCGAGGCTGTCAACCTTTTGACGATGTGTTGTTGCGTTTAGGGTTTAGGGTGTAGGGTTTCGGGTTTAGGGTTTGTTTTACTTGAAGAAGGGGTTAAACCAAACAGGGAGCCCTTGTGAATCCCAGGTTACTGGGCATCCTAGATAATAATGTATTGTTATGGTTATACACTCTCATATGCTACTAAATTTCAAGGGTAAAAGGAGGGACCCTTAATAAGGACCCCTGGGTATATACCCTTAATATAGCTATTATATACCCATTATATAGCCCATTATAGGGTTGGGGTCCCCATTAAGGGTCCCTCCTTTTCCCGTTTGATATATGGAAATCAATTCATACTTAGTGCGGATCCTCGAGGAAGAGACCCACAGGGGCTGCCGGGCAGTCGCGCCACACGGAAGGGACCAAGCCCGAAGCAATACGGTTTAGGGTTTAGTGTTTAGGGTTTAGGGTTTCAATCCCTGCTAGAAGCTTCATAAAGCCAAACAAATCCCTGCCAGAAGCCTGCCAAAACCCTCATTGGTCTTGGTGACAAGTATGTCTACCCTAGGCCTTAAACACCAACCCTAAACCCCTAAACCCTAAATCCTTAAACCCAAAAGCCATAAACCCTTAACCCTTAAATCCTAGACCCTGAACACCTCAACTGTAAACTCGGAAGTCTGAAAGCCTAAACCCTAAATCCTTCAGCCCCTAAACAC